TATATATATATATATATATATATGCTAATGTCGTTGAATATCCTGCGAATATGTATGTGATGCTGAAGGTATGGTTGTCTGTTTATGTATGTTGTGTGTGTCAATATATTAAATATAGATGGTTGTGTATGGTGACGCGAGAAGAGCAGATGTGCGCACGTGTGTATGTGTATAGGTGTCCCTATGTGTATGTGTATGTGTATGTGTAGTGTGTCTGTGTGTGTGCAAATGTACATGTGTGCGTGTGTGTGGGCGTGCACAAGAGCCAAGAATATTTAGGCGCGAACCCGTTATATGTGGATGCCTTGGACGGGTGAAGTCAGTCATGTGCGTCGGCAGGTGTCCGATGAATTGTTGCAATATCACTGAGTTATTGTAAGGTTTTGTTCCGGTCTTGCTTATCCCCCACATTATTTTCCTCATATAGGTGCCCCCATTTACTCATTTCACTTTAAAAGCAAACAATTAGAAAGGTCACGAAAGGTCATATAATTTTATAATACATTATATAATTAGTCATCAACTAGTCCTAAAATTTAATTTAGCTGTTTTTTGCTTTTTCTTTCTCATAGTATTATACTGCAAAACTGTATGTTTTAAAGTCAACGTAACTTACATATTAGCTCATTAAGTAGTCAATTAGAAAATGGAATAATTAAGCAAAATACCACTCAAAGATATTCCTATATTTTCGAATCTCCCGCTTTTACTGCGTATTGTAGTTTAACACTTAAATAATTAGGATATAATTAGAGTCTGTTTAACATTTTCAGATAGTTTCATAATTTTGAAAAAGTTATTCACATAGTAACAAGAAGATTAAGGACATTAATTGTACACCGCGATGTCGCGGTCTTTCACTTCTACTTAGTATACATTTGGCATATTTATGCAAATGTACAAATGAATGAATGAAGGAATAGTTAGTTCACTTGCTGTTTCTTTGTCTAAAGAAAAAGGAGGAGGTGGTGGTGTCAGTCGTTACTGCTGCCAATGGGAAAGTGGTAGTCATTGAAGAAAGGAAACCTGGTCTACGGCTCATAGTAGTCTATTATCAAAGTTAACTACATCTACTTTTTGTGTTTTCCCACGCTCATAGATCCAAAATAATACTCGATTCCTATTATATATATAAGTTACCGAAATTTATCCAAAATCTTTGATTATTTATTTTTTATTTTACAGACTTTTACTATTAATGTACAATTTTTATTAGAAAATATGCGTTGAAAGATAAATTAATATTTTTAGAATTATTTTATAATGGAGGCGTAAATTTGGTGCTATGGTTGTAAAGATTATATCTTGACTATTACCAAAGAATAAGACTTTCTTAGTGGCATTAGCATTTTTACATGAGGTATTGCTGGTTTGTTTAGTTGAGGTGTTGCTGGTTTGTTTAGTAAGTTACCAAAAAACAAGTTTTTTATGGTGGATGTGCTTTCGAATAATATATATGTAATCGAAAATAGTAGTAGTTGAAAACAATACAAATATTAAAGTGAATAATTGTAAAAAGTTAGTGGATAAAAGTTAATTACGTGCTGGAATATATTAAATAGTTGTGGTTACTAAATTTTTTTTCCCCCTAAAAAGCGTGAGTAAATAAAGTATTCTATTATGCAGTATTCTATTATTATCATAGTAAACAATCACTGTTTTTATATTACGTCTGAAACATTGCAAATAGTTATAAGCATCTTGACGTTAAATATCATATTTCATCAATTTCACTGAGAAATTATTTGCGCATACTTTTATACACATTTATGTGTTTACGTGTTTTGTTTTTTGTACATTACTTTTTGTTGTTTGTATACGTCTAGATTTCAGTGCATTAAAATTCTTTGAATCTAAATCTGTTTTTACGTGCATCTGTAAATTTTGAAAAATGTGTTTGTGTATTTGAGTATTTCACAGCTTTGTTCAATTCGAGAGAAGAAATTTTAGATTTACTGCTTTACGATTGATTACAAATTATTTGTGCTCAAAATGTTAGTTTCTGTTATTTCATTTAGTCTGTTTTTTCTTCTTTCAAAGTCAATTATAATTGAACTTTAACCTTTTTAAAAACTATAACTTGAAATTAAAATGAATACCAACACGATAATAACTTAATGCTGATTATTTATACTTCATTTCTAGCTTTGTTTTAATTTCCAAATATTTTTTCGTTCTTTTGTGTGACATTTAATCCAAGTAAAGTAAACTTTTCAGTAATCGTAATGCTATGATTATGACATTATTTATATATAACAGTGATAAGAATTCTTTGCTAACTTCTTCACGTAGTCACAGGTTTAGTGCCTTTTTAATTATATTAATTACCTACGATTGTTCGTAGCTGAGCATAGTTCTTAGTCATGTAAGGCAGTTGAAGATCATGACTAGAACGATACTCAGCTATGCCATTCGGCACATTCATTCTTGTGACCTTTAACCTCGCTATGGTGTGAAATATTAGTTACTGAATTTCTTGCATAAATTGATTTCTGAATGCATGTGAAATTCAAGTTATTGTTTATCTGATTTTTAGATCCAAAATTTGACCTCTAAGAAAATGAGGTTATTGACTAGTGAAAAATGTACACGGCATGATAATTAACACTCAAGCTTGAAAGGCAGTTCATTTTAAATAATTCCGAGACGCGAATAGACCAAACCATGACCCTTAATAGATTAACTGTAGTATGTTGGGATAAATTCAAAGTCTGTAAATTTCACATTTGTAATCGTTTGCAATTATTTTTGCAGTCATATTTGCGATTTGAACTTGAAGATTTTTTCTTTTCATTCATTTCTTCCACAAAAATATACAAAAGTGAATTTTTGTATGCATGGAATGCATTCATGTAAATGTTTGGTTGTATATAACTATTGCATGTAATTAAATGGAAGATGTTTTGCCACAACAGGTCAAAAGTCATACGTGATAATTAAATTGGATTATACAAGCTGTTAATAACTCTCATCTATAATTGATTTCAATGGCTTTACTTTGCTATCAAGTAATAAATATACAAATGAGTGCTTGTGCTAGCAATACTTCTTGATAGCATTAATATCACATAAATTTGCTTTTACTGCAAATAAATAATTGCTGGGCAAACAAAAGCTCATCATTTGTAACATTTAACTATCGAGAATTGCTTTTCTTTGCTACGATATTATAAACTTGGCAGAACTGAAATCTTTGGTCGATTGCTATCATTTGATTTGCATTGAAAAGTAATCAATCGATTGTTTAATTTATAATTTTTGGTTCATAATAAAATTTTAATTTTTTAGGTACGATCAAATTGACTGATAGCTATCATTAGTTCAGGCACGGAAGTCAAGATCAAATGGTATGCGTTAAGGACAGTGAAATTTTTGACCTGAAAGCAAATCAAATCAGGATTGATCCAGCTTTTATTGCCATTGAGCATATGCACTCCCAAGGTTGTAAATCAAATTTGACACACTTCACGCAGTCTTTTGCATAATTTCCGAATTTTACTTATATCGTAAGTAATTTACTGACAGCTGATCATTTTTACTTACTTTTTCAGGTCAAAGTTCATCGTTATCAATTAAAGTTGCTGATTTTGTAAAACTATTGGAAACCCAATTATTTATTTCAAACAAATCATTAATTGAGGAAGTATTTGTTATGTCGGCAATTTCAATGGCAGAAGCTTGAACTAACAGTGGTTTTGTGATCCGTTGAGAAAATTATACTCGTATCACAGCCGACTGCTAGTTCAGCTTGTCATTATACAAATTGCACACGATTACTTTCTTCCCATTTCAAGCTAATATCAAAATTGAATACGAAATATTGCATCCGAAATATGATGTACGGCAAATGTCAAAGTTCATGTGCCGCATCGTTTTCGTGATCCATTGTTTGATCAGTATCATGCATCACAGTTCGATTCGGCCCATGAATTTGTGCAGTCGCAAGAGGAATTACTCAACCATATTCAAGGATATTTACTTTGCAGATTTATAATTTAATTAATTCATAGCCAATCAAACTCCTTTCCTGTCAAAAAATGCATAGTATATGTGTACCATTACTTTTTATCCTCTTAAATTCCTTACTCTGAGGGAGAGTATGTATATATGTTGCAGTAACGTGGTTTGAATGCTGTCCAAAGCGTATAAATATAGCTTTGGCACTATTCAGACCACTATATCCGCATCACTTTTCATCCCTCTACAATCTTTATCCAATACAAAATTGCAATCAAATAGTAATTACGCGCACCGATTTGACGTAAGTATAATACTTTTGATCGCGAATTACTCGTAAGTTTTTAAAAGTAACTTTTAAATAATAATGACATTCTCAAGTATTATTTTTCGCTCGTTTTTTACGTTGAAATTTATGAAGTTTAGTTAATTGATAGAATAAAACTTAATTAGCTAAAAATTGATGAAATTTATTTATGTATTTTGATACAAAATTCTTTTTTAAGATCTTACATTAAGAATTGGAATAATGATATGCGTGTTATTGTTACTTGACTCATTTTGCTGTTTGTTTTGATTTAACTTGATATAACTATTATAAGTACTATCACCCAAACACATTATGTTATGATTGGAATTTGGTGTTTTTAGGATGATGCAAAGTGCTGCTATCTACGGTCTTGCTTTATCATCGTAATCGTGATCATACCCGATAATTTTACTTTGATTATTCATATTATGTATTATATAAAAATACATAAAGCAGTGAGAATGATTATCAATATTATTGTTAATGTTTATATATAGATATAACTTTCAAATAATAATTATTATATATATATATATAATGTATCTATTGATTGATAAACATGATAAAGCATTCTTGTGATATAAACATATGAATAAATGTTTTTGCGTAGCAGTCATTTCCGAAGTGTGATGTATGTTTTTATCAACGTAGAAGCAAAAATAAGTATTATTTCCCCCCAAGGTGAAAATAAAAGTAGCGAAGTTAGAGGGAAAGAAATTTTGCTCGTCTAAACAGATGTGAGTGAGTGCTTAAGTAGACGATCAGAATTATGCACAAATGAGAAAACTGAGTAAAACTGGTAAACATCAATATTAAATTGTACAGTGTATGGGTTTAAATTGTTTATGGGAAAATAGAATTATTGTTTTTGTTAAGCAACTGTGAGCTTTTATTCTATCATAGATTAAGTCATCGTCAAGGATTTCGGACTTACGGTATGATGCAGTAAGTCAGTATCATAATAATGTGGTTGACTTATATGGCAAGCTGGATTTATGACCTGATATCATAATACCACGTTACGAAGCATATATGTAAATCACTAAAATTGCATAAGTAATACATAGTTATCCTAAGTTTGACTGAAATATTACTTATTAAAGCATGAAAATAATATGTTCATATTGACTGATTAGTAATAAAAGTTACTTTTTAAAATTCAAAATAAATACTTGTAAACTTGTCGGTACCAAATTTATAATTCAAACAAGTTAAAATTGTTCTCTCATTATTTAGTTGGGCCATACAAAGTTATGCTTGATTCCAATCGCTGGTGCGCGTTTAGCTTGTCTGAATTGCTGCTTGAATTTTGCATAAACCATCGCACGGAACATTTCATAGCATTGACCCTAAAAGTTTTGGGCTATTTAGTTGATTTTTTAAATTAATACTAGGAATAATTTTCTTTCTTTGTTCAGTTATAATGGATTTGCAACGGATTCTGTTTGGTTTTCTGAATGTGAAAGTGAGTTAGTTGGTTGCAGAGGTTAATTTAGAGGTTGCTAGGATGGGTTTGATTTGTTAATTTTTAGGAAAATAAGTAACTTGTTGTATTTCTGTTATTTGGGTTCTGTTTGTTCTATTAGTACTTTTTCAAATGTTCTGCTTGCTGTAGTGGTATTTGCTTATCCGCATTTTCGTTATGACAAATTGATGGTTTTGTATTGAAAATTATTTTTTGCATAATATTTGTGTTAATGTTGATAAACTTTTGAGTATGATATATACAGATCATATCCAAACCCGGCTTCTCCAGGTCATATCAAAAAAGCAGATCGACTTGATTTATATAATGAAGGCAAGTAATTATTTAACAAGAGTAGAAATGTAATGTTTGTTTATGCAGTTATTAATAGTGAGTGAAAAGCCAAAAAAAATTTGCAAGAACCAATGCCTATTTTTATTTCAATTTGATTCGAAAATATGCCTTTTATCATTTATGTAATATGTTGAATATTAATGGAATAGAGCGGTTAGGTAGGTACTAATCTACTAGTGCTTTCATCAGCAATTAGAAAATTGCTTGAAGTAAATCACTGAATAGATCATTTGGAATAAATAATAGCTCATTTTATTGGGTTTTTATATTATTTATATTTAATTAAATATTTTTTTTATTTATGCACAAATGATTCAATCGTGCTTAATACATATGCATAAAAAAGAGATATTAGTAAAGCGCTCACGTTGAAATAAATTGATACACTTCTAGCTTCACTAAAACATAGTTTAGACGTATATCTCGACTGTAATTAAAGCTAATGTTTTATTTTGACTATCAACAATTATATTACGGTATCTTTTGGAATGAATTACGGTTTAAAGTATAGATACCTAGTTCATTTTGTTTCTGTATTGTTTAATTATTCAAAAAAAAAAAGAATAAAACTTGATTGTCTAAGCAAATTAAAAATAAGTTAATAATTATGATAAGTTTGGACTTGCTTAAAAAACTTCTCAAGAAAAATAATTACTGAAAAAAATAAATTTCAAAATTTGAAATAGGAAAATAAACATTAAACACTTTTTTAATCAAATAATAATGCTTAATTTCAAGTTTTAGTTTAAATTTGATATTACTATTCTATTAATATTTAAAATTTTATAATTAAATTTGAAATTTTGAAATGAAATCGCAAACACCAAAACTATCAGAATTTGATATATTTCAATCAATCAAAATTTAAAAATGAATTTTGCTCTTTTTTTCAAAATAACTTTTATTATTTATTAATAAAATTTAAAATTTTTCAGTATTTACTTAATTTCCTTCAAATTTCTCTTACTTACATTTATTTAAAGATATTTTAGAACCAAACAGAGGAGCAAATACTCATTCAAATTTTGTACTTTCAAAAAGATGAAATTTGAAATCATTTTAGATCAATCAATGTATATAACAATGATCAATTAAAAGTAATTTGATAAACGCACCTGGAAATTCATTTTTCGACGTAAATTACCACTTACGCACGCTTGATTAAATAATCGTGTAATAAAAGTGCTGCAGATTGGGCAAGTACCATCAAAGCAGTGATATGCACATTCATGACGGAAACAATAATTAATTACTGTGAAATTTGAATTCGATCGTTTCAAACAATCTGCAGCGCAATTGACCAAAACTGAACACTCTCCTAGAATTTACCGTAATTTCCGCAAAATTCCAGTCTCTTTCCTGTGAAGTAAATAATTTTTTTTTATTAAAGCATTCTGTTAAGCTACCGTAATCAGATCCAAATAGTGCTAAAAACTGCAGCGTAACAAAATCGCCCATTAAAATTGATTTTATAAAAATACAGTTTCCAGTGCTCGTACCGCATATCTATATCTCATCGACTAACTTTTACAATATTTCTGATTATTTTGTCAGAATTTACTCCTAGGTGAAATTATGTTCACTTGAAAAGTATGAAAATTTCGCTATATTAATTTAATTTTTTAAATTATTTCTGAATAATTTCATTTATACGGCTTTTAGAAGTGTTTCAGAGAAAAAATTTTTCATATTTGTAAATTTAAAAATTTCTTTCCATTCAAAATTACGCATTAATAATTTATTACTTGTGACAAATTTGAACAAATAGATCTCTGTGCAAACAAAATGCAAAAATATTTTGCAATTTTTTTGAAAAAAAAAATTTTATTTAATTACTGAGTTAAGTAATTAAGTTTTGCTTAATGGGATTAAATAATTCAAATAATTGGTAAAAAAATTTTTAAAGGTGCGCCATTAAGAGAAAATAACTTGAAAATTTTCTTTCATTTATTAACGAAAAACTTTAAATTTTAAAGTAAATGAAAATAAGTCATGTTCAGCAGTTTTTATTTCTTAATTTAGAGAACAACTGTAACACTTTTTTGAATATTTTAATAATCTAAAATAATAATTAATTATCAAATTTGATTTCTAAAATAGTTTAAGATTATGTTTATGTTTCAAAATTGAGCTATCAATGGTAATTTGAACAAATAAAGTTAAACAAATTGTTTCCCAAAAATTTGAATATTTCAAAAAGACTCACTCACTCGATTTGAATATAATTTATAATATGACAAGAATGAATATAATTTTCTGAATTTTATTTAAAGTATTTTGGCAGAAAAACGGAGTATATCAAAGAGTAGTTTAGCGATTTTCACGTTACAGTTACAGTTACAGTAATAATCTTGCTACAGTAATATTTATAATTTTACTTAATTGCATATTTAATTAAAAAAAGTGGAATATTGATAAAATCAATAAAATAAACCTTGCGGTGTTCGTTTAACACCATTTAAGACATCAATAAGTTGTTGCTTACTCATTTCGCATAATGGACATTTGTTACATTCATCTAAGCAACCTGCCGTAAAAATACATCCGTAATCAATGCCTGTATCCAAATCGTTGTAATGTTGAGCTGTGATCAACGGACCATTGAACCGATCAGCAATAAACGGTAGCTCAAGTTAATTAGTAATTTATTATCTTTATAATTAATAATTAACCTTTTTTTGTTTTGCGAAAAATTCTTATATCACAAAAATAATCAAAATTTGATTAATACCTTAATTGATTAATATCTGATAAAATCTTGACAGCTTAAACATTTAACTGATTGTGTTGTCTGGTATATAATATCAGATATTACAATTTTTATTAAAAATCAATTATAAAAAAATTTATAGCAAAATTTTTATCAAATTTTTTGTGAAGTATATTTTTTTAAATCAAATTTTTCAAATTTTTTAAAAAGTTTTGAAAAAAATTGTAAAGTAAATTTGACAAAAATTTTGAAAAAAAGAATTTGAAAATATGCGTAAACATTAAGTACTGAACACGTGAAATCATTTCAACAATATTCTCACAAAAAAAAACTTTTTTACTTTTAATATTTAAAATTAAATAAGTTTAAGTTATTTCTGCTTTTTTTAATAAATTATTATATAATTTTATATTTGTAAATTTTTACTTAATAAAATATGATAGCGAAAATTCTTAATTTTAATTATGATTAAATTGATATTAAATTAACTCAACCTTAATGCACTCTTTTGTAATAGCACACGCAAATAAACGTCGACATCGCTGCGCGACTGATTCTTCTGCTTTGCTAATGGTAATCACAAAAACTAGTATGATACTGATAATGATTAATCTCCATCGAGAAATATTAATCACTGAAATGATAACCATTGCGCAGTAAAGTTTTTGGCTTAAAAATCCTGAAAATAAAGAAAAAAATTTCAAAAATTGAATGACAAAAAGTAATTAATGAATAAAAATAAATAAAAATGGCAATAATAATGTGAAAAAGTGATAATAACTATAATTCTAGCTTTCTTTGTAAATTAATAAAAATTAAAAAATCTGAATTAAAAATTCAATCCATATTTAAACTCGTAATAATAAACAAATTCAATTTAAAATTTATAAAACGACTCTAAGAATGATAACACACCTAAACTTCCGCGTTTTTAATGTTTTAAACAAGTTAAACATAGTAACCTGTTTTGTTCACGATAATTAATTGCTATTACAATTATTACAATAATTATCATTGTAATCATGTACTCATACATTTTTTATTGTCATTAAAGAATAACAAAAATTGCAAACTAAGATTTAACAAACAAAAAAACAAACAATTTTTATTATTAATGACTGTTAATAATACTACTTATACACATAATAATATAATTATTAGTTATAATATTATTGTGCCTTTTTTAATAATTACTTTTAGTTATTATAATAGTAGTAATATTATTATCATATACGAATAAATAATGAAGCAGCAATTCATTCTTGCTTTTAGAGATTGAAAAATAAAAAACTTTTAATTAAACTTATAGTAATTAATAATTTTAGGAAATCTGCTTCCTTCGTCTCTTCTTCATTAAATACCTCTAGCAAATCACATCTAAGTTGTAAGATGATTTTAGTAGTGATCAAACATAATTGTCATCAACTGATTAGAAGAAAGAAGAGAATAAGTAAACGTGTTTCTATTCAAAATTGCTTCTTTTAATCATTTACATTTTATAAGAATGAAAAAAATTACGGATTCGAAATCGTAAAATGAATAAATGATAAACAGATGGATCAATTAATCAATAAATCAGATTGATTGATTTGGATTGGATTGATAGCAGAATAACTAAACAAATGGATGCTTAATTGAGTAAATAAAAGGATATAAAGATGAATGGGTAACTAATTAAACAATTAATAATTGTCAAATTCAAATTAATGGAGCATTTAAGGAGGTAATAACTTATTGAATAAATGAATGAATGATCGATTAATCGGATGAATGAATAGGTGGATAGAAGTGAAGTACAATGCGTGAATATTCAAATCTTGGCTGAATAAATAAAAAAAATGGTGAAAGCTTGAAATAATGAGTGATTAATTGAGTAATTGAGGGAATGACTTAAGAAGTCAGCAATTAATTGAATAAATAATCCATTCATTGATTGACTGATCGATTGATCGGCTGATTGGTTTATTGATTGAATGAAAAAATAAATTAAATAGATTTTCTCTTTTTTTTTGGGGGGAAGGGGGATTTGGCAAATGTTTAAAAAAAAATTTTTTTAAACTTTTTTTGAATAAGAAAGTGACAAATATCCAAACTAAGAAGAAATGAATGAAATGCAAAAGTGAGAAAGTAAAAAGGAATAAATAATTCCTGTTCTTCGAGCAGAATTCATTTCTCTGATGTTTTGCTCAATTTATTTGCAAATTTATTCATCGCAGTCATTTTAGCTTCTTTGTTTACGCTTAATTAGAAGCGTAGAAAGCAGAATATTTTAATTTGAATTGGAAATGATAGAAATTAATTTGAAATGAATAATCAAAAATAAATTTTAAGGTCAAGAAGTTCATTTTTCTACTCTGTAATTTTATATATTTGAAAAAGTTTATCTTTTTTAAATTTTATTCCAAAAATAATAAAATTTTGAAAGTGCATTTTGTTTTGTATGAAAAGTTTGCAATTTCTTATTAAATCTTTTTAAAATGCGCACTTTTATTATCCAAAATTGAATATAATCTAATGAATATTAAGAATGTTATTTAAGGTTTAATATAATTAAACTTAAATAAACCAAATAGAAATTATGATTAAATTTTAAAAAAATCGATCAAATGAAAAAGATAAAAAGGTTAAAATTTAAAAATTTTTTGACATTAAAACAAAAGGGAATTATTTAAATACTCTATAGGTTTGATGTTATAAATTTAGATTTAATTAGTGATTAGTAATTTTGTAATGCGAACGAATCAGAATTAAAACGCATATGAAGCGTACGAGAAATAGTATAATTCAAAATGTAATAGAAATGTTATAATGCGAATAAAATAATATTTATTTATAAAAAATCTAAATTTAGGACTTGATTTAAATTTCTAATTTAATTGCATGAAATTATAAAAAAGTAGTGCGATTTTAAATTTTGTGGTTACTTTTGGTATTTTATGCAAACTAATTTCTATCTGTCTATCTATCTAATCTATCTATCTATCTACCCATCTATCTATCTATCTATCTATCTATCTATCTATCTAATCTATCTATCTGTCTATCTATCTATCTATCTATCTATCTATCTATCTATCTATTTTTGTCCTTGTGATCTAATAATTGCGAAGTGTAATGGTTGTTATTTAATGGAAAAAATATATATATTTAACAAAAAGTCTGCAAAGGAATGCATTTCAAGCGAAGTAACTGTTACATTTTCCAAAAATTTGTCAAATTCAAATTTCTTTCTCACTCAAAAGTATTTTCCGTATTTTTTTTTAATAAAAAAAAAACAATTTTAGACATTTTTGCTTTGTGTGAAAGAATTGATTAACGGATTTGGCTCATGAAATGAACATTGCATTCATTTTTCATATTATACCAGAGAAGAATTTCTAACAGCAATTAATTTAGTAAAACATTAATAGAAACAATTAATTTATCATCTAAAAACCAAAAACTTTTCAAACATTTACAACAAAATCAACTATAGTTATTACTATAATAGTAATGATAATTAATTATAATTATAATTATAATTATTATTATTGTAGCCATTATTGTTTATAACAGCTTATTGACGTTGACTTTTATCTCTACAACGTAGTACTAAAATCAGAATTTTAGGAATGAAACATAATTAATTAAGGCTAATAAATATTTCTGATAAATGTGTTTAATGTTGATGCAATGTATTGTGTGCAAAATTTATCGATTAATTCCAATCTAAAATCTTTTTATTCAAATCATAATTTTGTGGTTTTTCAAATTAATAATTTTTCAAAAAAATTTTATCAAATTAAAATTAAGCATTAATTTTTGCTGTCGCAATAAAAATACACAATGAACTGAAATTCAGATTAGGTAGAAATGCATAATAAATAGAGGTGCACGGAATTTCCAAGGATTAGATATATAACTTTGTAAGATATGGCTTCATCCTTTACATACTCAAAGTAATCTCATATTTGTACTGAATCTATTAGTAATAATACTATTTTCATTGCATCAATCAAATTTTTTGATTCTAAACTTCATTAATTTATTAAGAATTAATGTTTGCATCTTGGGGCCGTGAAATATATTTTACTAGGTTTGTTCTTGCAAATTATTTACAGTTGATTAGTGACTGTTATCTGCATTCAGACAGTATTGTGACCTTAAGAAGTGCTAGCGTTAATTGTAGAGTTGAGGATGAATCTACGAGTTGCTAGGATCGAAGATTTACTGAACACACAACACTGTAATCTATTATGTTTGCCTGAAAATTATCAGATGAAATATTACTTTTATCATGCCTTATCTTGGCCACAGTTATCTTATGTCGCTGAAGATGATAAGGTAGGCTACTGCAAAAATTTAGTTTATTTGTTGTTGGCTTTATTGAAAATAGGTTTTACTTACGTGTACTACTTTTAATGATCTCAGTTGTTTTTTCATAAATAAGTCAAAATTATGAAGTACTGATGATTATCATTGTAGCTACCGTTTTCGTAGGTAAAAGAGTATAGTTTTTTTAAAAATTGAGCTATTTTTACATTTATTAAACACTCTCATTTCAGTAACGAAATACCTGCTGTTTCAAGTACCTTACTAGAAAAATATAGTAATTCATTGTCATTTTCAGCAGTAGTATCTGACATTTAAAAGATATAGCTTTTTTTGATTCAGAATTAACTTTAAAATGAGTTGAAATGAGAACACTTAGTGGTTTTTAGACACTCAGAATTGCTAATCGGTTACTTTTAGGGTGATATTGTTGGTTATGTGTTGGCAAAGATGGAAGAAGAAGCAGATGATGAACCACACGGTCACATTACTTCATTGGCTGTAAAACGTTCATATCGTCGTTTAGGTCTTGCCCAGAAGTTAATGGATCAGACAGCCCGAGCTATGGTTGAGACATTCAATGCAAGATATGTTTCGCTTCACGTACGTGTCTCGAATAGAGCTGCACTGAATCTGTACCAGGTTTGTTCAATGCTGCTTTATTATTATAGTTTATAATTTTATGCAAATAAAATTTAAAAAATTTGTGGAGATTAAAGGTTAGGTTTTGGTACTGTAATGGTAAATACTACTTTGACAAAAAGAAAATTCATGAGCCTTCACAATATCTAGCCTACAGTTACTAATTTTTTTGTAATAATAATTACTTCATGAAAGATGCAGATGTACATTTTGTGTAAGTGGTACCACATGATTCTAGTCATTTATAAATACGAAAACTTAAATATAAATCTTTATAGCAGAAATTGTAGCATTTTATAGCTTATGAATAGTAGAAGTAAAATAAACGTATTTTAGAATACTCTCAAATTTGAAATTTCTGATGTGGAACCAAAATATTACGCAGATGGTGAAGATGCATATGCAATGAAGCGTCCTTTAGTGCAGTTTGCAGTTGAAAATAATATTGAACCAGCCGATAAAAAAGCATTTTTTAGTGCTAAAGAAGAACGAGAGCATGCCAAAAAGCAGAAAAACAATTAGTATTTTGGTCGAGTTTGTGAAATTTTATTCACTACCTTTTCCTTTTGTATTCTAGTGTGTAAATAGTTTTTGGAATCTTTTAAAAGAGTTAAAAGGAGATTGAAAGTGGTGGTGATTAAAATTAATATACTAGAATGTTTTTCCTGCTACAAAATAGGTTCTAAGTTTCTAGAAAGTTTCTTTGCTCAGTTGCTTCTTTTTTATTTTACAAATATTATACTCTTTTCAAAATAACACGCGTGCTCTCAAATGAAGTCTAGTTTCAAAATGTGTTTTGAATTTATTTCATGTGTTGATACTTTCATTCCACCAAGGAAATGTATCAATCATTACAATCCCGTTACTACTTCGCTGTATCTGTTGATACGTATTATAATATTCAATTAATCGCTCTAAAGTCGGAAATGTAGGACGGTTTTTGTCTCTATAACCAACACCGTAAAATTTGGCGTCATCATCGTTTTCAGAAAATTCCAGGATTGGGTAGTGGCTGAAGTAGATATGATGAAATTATTAATCAGAATTTACTCGGCATTTGGTGATTCCTTATATGCTATTCTACTAAAAATATATTCATAGCTAATTTTTAAACTGATGAGGATCAGGTAATAATTGATCTCAAAGTCTAGTAAACGTCACATAATTGCAAGATATCTAAGTTTATGTACTTTTCATAAAATAGTCTTCGTTTAAGTAGATTTGATAATATCTTCATTGTAATGTTATCTTTCCATTGTTTTGCATGAGATAGCTTACCAGTGTTGCCCAGTACTTGCTCGATAGCAAATATATAGGTTTATTTTGCTAGGCAACATTGTTAGACTTCGTTTGTTTGATATTTTATGATACAGTTTAAATGTTGCTCTCTGGATAATCTCGTGCTCAGCTGATCGTCTGCTACGTATGCCGATGTAATATTTTTGCAAGTTGAATTTTACTTCTTGAATTATTTTTGGCCTAAAAATGAAGAAACGTCAACAAAAATGATTTGGTATCAATTTTTATAAATCTTGTGCTAATTGTATGAGCAGAATTTTTTAGTTCTTTTAGTAGCTGTATCATCCATTACGAAGTCAGAAGTTATTTAAATCATAGCTATACCAGATTTCTTCGGTGTCATCTTCTTTCACTGAAAATAAGTTGTTGTTATGTTGATGTTTTGTGGGTGGAAATTATTGGTAACAATAAATGACCAAAGTTGTATGAGACATACCTTGTGGGTCTGTTTCTTGTTGCTTTCTTTTTGACTGGAAGGATTGCTAAAATAACTTTCAGTAATATTCTCTTCTATTTAGGTAAAGGAGACTTGTCATTTATATATTATTTTTGTGGTATAGTCATGCATTTTTGCGAGATAATGCCGTGAAATTTTACTGTGAAAGTATATTGTGGTGAAGTTTGGATGTAAATGAAGATAACTTTCAGTGGTGAAGTTTGGATGTAAATGTAGATTGAAATACCAAATAAATAGGATGGTCGTTAAACTTTGATCTAAATTTACTGTGCAGTCTGTACTACAGTCTTATGTGTAATGTAATAATGATGATAAACATCAGATTTTTTGATAACATACATCACATTGTCGTCCATGAATACAGCATATTCGATTTAAAAATGCTAGATAATTTGAACGGCCACTTTCACTTGTATGGTTTGGAGGTGACAGAGGGTCTCTGTAGTTAGCACAGATCGTATTGGAAGACGTACTCATTTCTCGGAAGCACAAGTTTTTATGATAACAATAGAGCGCATGGCTTCATCGTAGATTTTTATTTAGAATGTGTCAATATGCAAATTAGCATAATATATAGTTTTATTGACCTCAGTGCATACAATTATTGTCAGCTTTTCTTCTAATATTGCTCTTTTTTTATCCTTGAAATTTGTAATTAAGTGGAATGTACTTTAAATATATTCAAATTACTAATTCAAGATTATCACAACAGGACGCGCCATCTGCTTGCTTTTAGTATACGCATTTGTTAGTGATGTGTACTGGTTGATTGATATTTGCATATTTTAAGTGATTAATTGATTAAGTAAAGAAAAACATGATTGATCACTGTAGTGGGAAAATTCTCGCAGTACTTTGAAGTATAAAATAACATATTGTAACGAGATTTCTCGAAAACACTCTTTAAATAGTATTTGGAATAAAGAAATTAATTTTCGATGAATTTTTTGATCATTTGAAAATTGTTTTATTTTATGCGATAAATCATATATCACTGCATATTTTATTACATTTTGATATGAAATGAAATCAGATCAAGTCAGATAGATTCAAATTAGCTACCATTTCTTCTTATCTGCACCAAAAATGTCTGGATTCACAGCTGCCAATGTTTGATAGTTTGGATCAAATGTTCCTGCCTGTAATTACAGTTCAGTAGATAAATGATAAGTATTATCCGATAAATGGAAGTCTTAAGGACAAGTTTAAATTTGGATCAAATGTTCCTGCCTGTGTATTACTGTTGTAAACAGTAGTTGTAATACCGTAAGATTTGGGATTATAACAATTGAAAGCAGTTTTTGTTTAAATGATTACATATTATCAACTTAAATTAATTGGAATTATTGCAAATTAAAATAAAAAGCAAATTTAAAGTTTGAACTTTGAATCAGTTTTGAATTTAAATTAAAACTTTTCAAAAGTTATAATGGTAACAGTTTACCAGTAATTGGCATCAGAGCTTATCAGTGATTAGCGTGAGACTGATTGAAACTTGATAAATGGAAAAAATAGTCTTGAGAATGTGTTATACCTTTCCTTGTGGTGCATCTGGTGCACGAACAGGTTGCAGTGGGGGAGCTTTTTTATCAGCACCAAAGATTTCACCACCAATACCGGCCAATGTCTATGAAAACAAAAGTTAGAAGCAAGATTTACTTGGTAATCTATGATGAGACCAAGTTCAATTATTAATTGGAGTTTACCTGATAATTCGGATCATTGACACCAACTATACCGCCATGGGCTGGAGCTTTTATACCGGCACCACCTCTACCACCTCCAGCTTTATCTGCCCCAAATACATCTGCACCAATGCCAGCCAGTGTCTAAACTCACTATGTGCTTTGTAAGATTTAAAGAATACGTGCTCATCTGAGTTCGAAAATATAAAATTTTGTCTACAAGCATTTTGAAAGGATAACTAAAAGCTTACCTCAATTTACAAGTAAAATATACTTGTTATGCATTCCAGTGAGTTAATAATAAATAATAATTAAGAGTGTAAAATAACTAAATTATAAGAATTCGTAATTTACAACTAAAAATGTCGTGAAATACTATTTTTACTAAAAACTATGAAAAATTATGATAAAGTTTCTTTTTTTAATGCATATTATTTTATTATTATTACTGGCAGTTTTATTTCTTTTTCATTCTAATAATCTGATTAAGTGCATTTATTTTAATGAAAAACGATAACCACTGGCAAATTTGACATATTTTAAAAGTAATTTTTACCATAATTTATCATTTTAATGTTATTACTATTAATAAGTTCACTTTTTCAAGACTAATATGTACAACTTACTTGGTAGTTTGGGTCAAAAGTACCAGCCATTCCACCTTGTGCTGGTGCTTTTGGAACTGGTGGAAATCCATCTCCGCGTTTTTTGTCTTGTCCAAATATCTCACCACCGATACCAGCTAATGTCTAAAACATGCTTACAACCTTCTATTTATAAATTATAATTTTAAATTTTGAATTTGTGTCTGATAAAAGTAGAAAATAAATTACTTGATAATTTGGATCGAAAGTACCAGCCATTCCAGCATTTGCTGGTGGTCTTGGAGGTGCGATGCATGGTGGCTTTTGTTTTGCTAAAATTATTCACATAATTAAATTTTTGTAATAAAAGTTATTTTAATAAATAATTAAAAAATTATTGGAATTAAATTAATAATTTCTTTGTTGAAAATTCAGTACTCTAATTTTTTGCACTTTTTCTCTCAGATATTTACTAAAAAAACTTTTAAATATTGAACTATCGGTTTCCTCTTCTTCATCTTCATCTTCTGAATCTCTTCTTCTTCTTAATTTTTTTTTTCTCTTCAAAGTTTATTAATTTTAGTATTATTATTACTAATTTAGTTTCAATTAAATTAATAATTTTTTTATTTTTAAACAGTGTTAAAATGATTAATTTTTACTCCAAATTTGATACAAATGATACTAAATTAATTAATTACTTATTGAAATTAAATTAATAATTTTTTTATTTGCAAAATAAAATTAAGCTAATAACTTTTATAATTATAAAGGAACAAAATTCAAATGTGTAATTAAGTTAAAGACTATAAAATAGAAAAATTGAAGTCTTAAACTTTACAAAATTGGAATTTTTCTTCAAATATCTTTAAAATATTATTTTTTGTAATGAATTATTGGACTTGACTGCATATATTTATACATTTTTAATGCAAAAATTTTCTAAACTCAATAATTTTCATACTTGCAAGGTGTTCAACAGTGCTTTAAATAAGAAAATTACTGAATTTATTAAATTTTTATGCAAAAAACCAAATCCAAATATAATGATATACTTAATAATGATTGAGTAATTTATTTCCAAACACTTTTATAAAAATTTGGCGCTAAAAAACCCAAAATTATTTGAATTTCAAACGTAAGAGTATTTTTATCGTCATAAAAATTTTGATATCAGAGATTTTCGAATAGTACTTCATCATTTTAAATTTGAATAAAAATTATAAGTGAAAAAAAATTGATAACATAAATAAATAAAACGTGAACAAACCTTACAGCAACAACAGCAGCAACACGTTGGTAAAGTGTAAGTTACTGTTGATATTAATTGTAGAGTAATGTATAAAATAATCAACACAGGTGGAAATCCACTGAGCCACAAAATTTTAGCGAATAAAAAATACATCGCTTTTCAATTTGATTACTTTAAGAATAATTTTGTACAATAAGTCTGGACTCTCTTCGTTTCATCAATTATTGAGTTAATTATCCAATCAAAGTTTGTAACTTTATCTGAAACTAAGTACTGAACTTGAATTGGATTCTAAAACAAATTTTATTAATATAAGTAAATTTTGATTTCATATCAGTGTAAAATGATAAAATCAGTCAAACTGACTCATAATAAGACAACGCAAAATTAATTCAAAACTTGGATCAGATTTATTTTTAATCTTAACTAGTCTGGTCTGCTTTCTCTTGTAATAACTGATTATATCAATTTATGAAATATTAAAAATCAGATTTGATAAACTCATATTCAGCAATCTTAACTAATCTGAGAGCTTATTACTGTAGAAACTATAAATCTAATTCAATGCGGATATCAATTAAAAGGTGGAGCTATGTGAACTATGAACTATTCTGATTTTCTATCAAATCTCAAAAATTAAATCGAAAAATACTAGAGATTCCTAAATAATGTGACGATAGTTAGACACTGTAAAATCCATTTAATATAATTGTAAAGCAAAACGCTTTGCAGTGATTTGTGTACAGTTTTTTAGAAATCCAAATCCCTCACTTTTTGGATCACATGCAAAGTTCATAGTTCAAATGGCTGTGCATCTTTTTACTAAAATAGCTAATGGTTACGAGCATTAAGCAGACAAAAAAAGCTAGCAAACTACAACCTTCCTTCAAGTAAAAGTATATCTGAAAATGGTGAAACGACCGTTTTAAGTGCAATTAAAGTAAGCTGAAATTTCATTACCCAAACTTTTGTGTTACTTAAATGCTTTATTCCCCTTCAATTTTTGTAAATCTCTGAATTATACATAAGGAATATGCAAAATACAACATATTTTGTAACACGTAAATCAATAGTGGATTCTGGAGATTAGCCTATTTTTCCTTATTTATGATCCTAGCGGTAGGTCGGTCGCATTTCGGCATTCTAGCTATACTTGTAGTGCGCTCAATCAAATTTGTTGTGTTGATCTCCGTTTTTATCCATAGCAGTGATCAAATGAAATGCTTTTGAGCGTTTTCTTGAGTACTATTGATTGAAAGTATGCCTCAACGTGATCAGATATACTAATTTCCTTCGCGTAACGATTGTGGAAGTTCGTCACTATGCCATTCTACGTCATCACATACGGAATTATTTTCGTCCTGCAATTCATCTTTGTTCCAAGCTTATTAGCCAGCAAATCATACTTTTGCTTCTTCTCGGTCTCGATTGCTGTCAACATATTCTGACCAATGATGCCAACTTCTATCAGAATTACTTCAATGTTACAAAAATAACATACAAATTTAAATCATCAGAGTTCAATTAAGTTAACAACTACACAGCAAAATATTCGTTGTCAAACACTTCGAGCAGTGCATCTGACAGAATGACATAATTCAATCGGATATTTTCAGTAAACTGAATTGAATATATGTTTCGATTATTTTATTTTTATTATTTATGTTTTTTCTTTTATTTTCTGAATTTTTATTTATTTGAAATATTTTTCATCGATTGCTTTCATTACAAAAATTTTTAGCGGTTGAATAATTTACAACTGCATTTTAAGTAACGTAAGAGATTGTTTACGTATGCAAGGTGTTGAGAGTTATTGACTGTGTCAATATAGTAAAATCTCGTCCACAGCTGATTTACCAATATGGCTACGATACGGAAACATTACCTTGAAAGATGAGGACGATACTGCTATCTCCAAGCGAAATATGTTTGTTTGGATGTAAGAAAGATATGCGCCAACATTGTAGGGAACGTGTGAAGAACTTGGGGACCATCTAACAACGCAGTGAAAATGTTACATCACGACCGTACTAGAAGACACAATGAGGCCTTACGATCCATCCACTTGGGAATCTGG